GGAAACGAGGGGGAAGGGGGGAGGAGGAGAGAAGGGGGGACGATGAGGAGGGCGAAAACCAAAACATGAGCTGGCGAGCTCATGGCGTTCGGGGGGGGGGCCCAGGCGACGGCGGCCAGGGGCCTCTGGGTGGCCCGAGAAAACAACGGCAAAACAGAGTGGGAAATCCTGGAGATACAGCAACCACGTTCACAATACGCTCCTTCGAGGAGCGCGGTGGCCGGCCTTGACCCCCCACCCCCCCTGGCGGTTGAAAACTGCGGCTGGTCGACGCAGACAGCGGAGACATTGACGCCCGCGTCCTTCCACCCTCCTCCGACTTCTCCTCTTCCCTTACGTTTCCCTCCCCCTCCCTCCCCCTCACCCCCCTACTTCCCACCCCCTCCTCCTCCCCCCCTCAGCCATCGCCCCCAAATCCTTGCCATCAGGATGCGGTTCCAAGGAGCGGCCAAATTGTACCACTGCTTTGCAGATGAATCTTTAAACGCGTCTCTTCGCGATGTGGCTCAGTTCTGCCATCGGCTTACCTTCAACCGCAGGGTGTTCAGCCTAATGGATCTCAAAGGCCGTTTTTCTGGTGTATTGGCAGCAGCGGGCCCGTGGCTTCCGCTGGTATCTGGCTGGTTCTGACGTCATGGGCATCTTGATTTTCGGCGGCCGCCGCTGGCAGGCCATCGTTGTGCACGGGGCCTCTGAAAGAGTTGGGGTTGAAACGAGACGGCGGCATCGTCGCCGTCGAGCCGACGTCGCCGTGGTCGTCGTCGTGGTCGCCTTGTCATCGTCGCGGCTGCACTTTCCCATCCGAGGGGCGCGCAGCTTTGGCTGCCGAGATTCTGGACCGAAATCCAGCGACTGTCGTCTTCGCCGAGAGGTCGATGCCGTCGGCTCTGAAGCATCAGCGCCGTTGTCGTTGACGTCGTCCTCGTCGTCGAAGCGTCATCGCCATTGTCGTTGCAAGTGTCGCGTCGTGGTCGTCGTCATCATCGCGTCGCCGCCATCGCCATCTCCGTCGTCGCCCTAATCTCCACAGTCGTCGTGGCCGCGTTCGTCGTCGGCGTCGCTGTCGTCGTCAATGCTGATCGCTCCGCCCCCGACGGCCCAGACCTCAATCATGTCTCTCACCTGCCACGCCCCAGCAAAGATGGCAAGGCAGAAGACGAGGAGGATGAGGAGGAGGCGGAAGGGGAGGGCGAAGAGCGAGGGCGAAAAGGAGGAGGAGGAGGCCGGCAAGGATGGTCACCAGGAGGAGGACGAGGTGACCGAGGCCGAATCAGAGGTGGAGGAGATCGATTGAGAGCTGGACCATCGAAAAACAAACGGCCTGTTGCCTGTTTTTTTTTCAAGTTTTTTTTTGTGCATTGCACTGCGGGCGTGTTTTGGATTTCGGTGCGATTAGAGCACATCTCATTGGGCTTCAAAACACCGACGGGTGTCGGAACGTTCAGATGGCACGGCGTAGTCGTCCTCCTCGTCGTCCTAGCTGTCGTTCGTCAGCAGTTGTCGTCGCCTGCAGTTGTTTCAAGCAGCCCTGTTGATCCCAACGTATGCGAACGGTGCGAAGATGAACGTGGGCCCCTGGAGGTGGGCCTCGAGATCCTTCAGTCGTTGCAAGCACTGCCTGGGGACGCAGCCAATCGGGGAGTCTCATCATCGCACTTCTGCTCATGGGTCGCGAGCTCGACCTTCCAAAATCGGCGGGGAACTTTCACCAAATCCTTCAATTTCCGCTGGGACCCTTTCGGTGCAAGAACTGATTGGGGAATTCACCCGAGCGGGCCAATAGAATGCTGCCACTTTCGTCAATATCGGGTTCCTCAGGCCTGAATGTGGAGGCCCAATCGGGTGCATTTTAAAATGGTATTTCAATAAATCACGCGGGTGATGATGATGATGATGATGATGATGACGATGATGATGATGATGATGATGACGATGATGATGATGATGATGACGATGATGATGATGATGATGATGATGATGATGATGGTTATGATGATGATGATGCCGATGACGATGATGATGTCGATGCTGCTGCTGATGATGATGCTGATGATGATGATGATGGCGGCCCCACCAGGGCCACGGCCCTGGCGGGCATGGCGCAAGCCTGGCGGGGGCACATCAACACGTTCATATCTGCGGAGGCCCCCGCCAGGACGATCGTGCAATTCCAGGCCCAGAGTTGAAAGTCGACCCCGCTCATCCTGTTTGATTGCTCCCGCTCTGACTTCCCAGGTATTGCAATGTGGTGCAAGATCCACATATTATTCCTTGGAGTTGGTGCGCCGTTTGCCATCTAGGCGCGCCCCCATCGCATCACAGTGTTATATGTTATAACCAGAATAAGGACGAGGAGGAGGGGCGAATAGGCGGGCGAGGGGAAGGAAGGAGGACGGGAGGGAAGGAAGGAGAGTAAAGAGTGACCGAAGGACGGAGGGATGGAGGCAGGGAGGGGGCAAGGGAGAGAGAGGGCGAGGGAGGGGGAAGAAAGGAGGGAGTAGGAAGGGAGAAAAGGGCGAATTCCTGCGGCGGAAGGCTGAGGAGGAGGGGATGCACCGATTTCACACGCAATTTCACACGCGCGTGAAAGTGCGTGTGAATTCTCACCCCTCCACCGCGAAGGCTGTTGCGACAGCTTCGTCTGAGATGCATATAAGCTGCAGGGCTGGCCCTGCTAGTGCACGCGTCGTGCTCCCTCGCTGTCTCTCCGCCATCGTCGACTTCGTCGCCGTCGCCGTCGCCCACAAGCAACGTTTTTACACAGTTTGATTGCTGACGCCAACGCGTTATCCTCTAGACTCGTCTTCCGCTCGGATCCGCCCTTGCCTCGACAATCGAGGCCGCAAGTAATTAGCTGCGTCGTCGACTCACCGCCTGGCCGCGCCAACGGGTGGACTTAACGGAGAGGGGTGACGATGGCGCGCCTCAGGATGAGGAGGAGGAAGAGGAGGAGGAGGAGGAGGAGGAGGAGGACGAGGAGGAGGAGGAGGAGGAGGAGGAGGAGGAGGAAGACTAGGGCGAGGAGAAACACGAAGAGGGAGAGGGGCAGGAGGAAGAGGAGGAGGAGGAGGAGGAGGGGCAGGAGTAGGAGGAGGAGGGCGACGACGAGGAGGATCAGGAAGAGGACAAGGGAAAACGTGATCGAGGAGGACGAAGACAAGGGGGGGGAGGGGAAGCGGAGGAGGAGGAGGCCGACGAATTCAGAGGAGAGGCGTAGGATCAGAAGGGGAGCAAGAGATAAGTATACGAAAAGAGATTGGCGGGAGAGGCGGAGGAGACGAGGAGCAGGAGGACGACAAGGAACAGGAGGAGGGGGAGGAGGAGGAGGAGGGCAAGGAACCAACACGACTACAAACGAGGGCAACGTTCCCTCTATATTCTTGGTTCCGTTCTCCAGATCTTCCGACACCTCCTCATTCTCATGTTCCTTCTTTCCCATCTTCTCCCCGAGTTCCTCCTCCACCTCCTTTTCTCTTCGTCCTCGTCGTCGTCGTCGCCCTTCCCCTCCTCATTTTCCTGCTCGTCCTCCTCCTCCCTCTCCCTGGCCCGTCCCCTTGGCGCTGGCTGTGGCGGTGGGCGGGCGCTGCCCGAGCCATTCGGCCGCGGCGCCGCGGCCGCGAACGCGGGCCCCGCGCGCGCAGCCGCCAGAGCCGCAGAGAGCAGCAGAAGGCAGAAGGCCGCCAAGGAAACCAAGGAGGAGGAGAGGAGAGGAGAGGCGAGGCGAGGAGAGGAGAGGCGAGGAGAGGAGAGGAGAGGAGAGGAGAGGAGAGGAAAGGAGAGGAGAGAGAACGGAAAAGGAGGAGAAGGAAAAGGAAGGGAAGGGGGAGGAGGAGAGGGGAGGAGAAGAAAAGAGCGCAAGCAACCAAGAACATAAGTGTAAGGATATATGTAGGTACATATATAGTATATATATATCTATGTATATATATTCATTTAATATATCAGATTATTTTTTTGGATTGATTATATATTGCATTCTAGCTTTTTTTTTTTTTTTTTTTTTTTTTTTTTTTTTTTTTTTTTTTTTTTTTTTTTTTTTTTTTTTTTTTCTTTTTTTTCTTTTTTTTTTTTTTATTTTTTTTTTTTTTTTTTTTTTTTTTTTCTTTTTCTTTTTTTTTTTTTTTGTTTTTTTTTTTTTTTTTTTTTCTTTTTTTTTTTTTTTTTTTTTTTTTTTTTTTTTTTTTTTGGTTTTTTTTTTTTTTTTTTTTTTGTTTTTTTTATTTTTTTATTTTTTTGTTTTTTTTTTTTTTTTTTTTTTTTTTTTTTTTTGTTTTTTTTTTTTTTTTCAAGCCTTGGCGCATGTCAGTGCAAAACATACTCATGCTGCGCGCGTGATAATTATCTAGCCGTGAAAATCGAGAGCTCTAGATATATATGTTGTATACTCCGGAGATTCTCAAGAGTTTGGATCTCAGGGTCACGAATCCCAGCATAGATCAACCTTGGGACACAAAAAAAAACAAGGGAAACCACTGCACATACGATTTTCGCGCGTTTTTTTTTTTTTTTTTTATTTATGAACCCTAGGTTCGGTTGCGTTTTTTTGTTTGGTGAACGCTATGTTGCAACACTCGGTGCGGCACCGCTCTTCGCAAGCATGAGGAATGGCGCGCGAAACCAGCAAAAACAAACCCATACTCTAAGGACACGCGCGAAACAAAACTCATGTAAATGCAGACTTTCCGTCTCCACGCAAAGTTTAAGTCGTGGAATCAGACGCATCGATGCACGCGCAAAAACAACATGAATACGTGAAACGCACGCAACGGAACATCATGCTCATACACTTGTCGCGCTTGCACTTCTCACACATTTTAGCAATTTGCGCGGGGGGTGTCGCCCTTGGGCGTAGGGTGGGAGCTACAGGTCGTGGACGCGGGTTGGCTACTTGCGTCGGGCGTGACTTCGCAAAACTCTGGCATGTCAATGGCGGCCCTCTCCTCGTGCGCTTGCTTCTGCCACTCTCGGGCCGACGCGCAGCATTTTCGGCCATGGCTCAGGCCGTTGCGCGCGCGCTCGGGATTCACGCCCACCCGTCAGATAATCACGCGGACGGCTGCTCCATGCTCTTGCAGGGCCCGTCGCAGTGGCTAGCCGCCATGCAGATGGTCGGGCGCCCCGCCCCAGGCGGGGAATGGGGGGGGGCCGAGATTGCGGGGGCCGAGGGGGGCAGGCGGGAAGGCGAGGAGGGGCGGCATATTGGAATACATAAGTGGGGAGGAGGTGAAGGTAGGTGAGAAGGTCGCAGGACGCAGGCAACGAGGCAACGATAATCAGCGGGGAAGGGGGACATAGCGGGAAAGTGGCGAGTGGTGGAGGATCGGGCACGAGGCCATTCATGCATGCAGGGCATACTCTTGCTCGTTCATTCAGACCCACTCATTCCCAGAAATCCAAGCTCAGAACATCTCACGCCCAATCCCGCATGTTGAATTGCATTCGGATCGATTCAAATTCAGATCCATGCGTGCTTAGCCGGTCGCGCGCATGCTCGCTCGCACTTGGTCCCACGCGCCCTCTGACTCACGCCCAGACCCATCCATGATGGAAGCATCCAGAGCGATGCTGCGCGCGCATGAGGATATCCGCGTCCACGTTTGTTTCGAGTGGGTCGTGGCACCCAGAGCGCGGATGCATTGCGTTTTCAATAAATCGTGGCTTTTTTTTTTTGTTTTTTTTTTTTTTTTTTTTTTCTTGTTTTTTTTTTTGTCTTTTTTTCGTTTTTTTTTTTTTTTTTTTTTTTTTTTTTTTTATCTACCTCTTTTTTTTTTTTTTTCTTTTTTTTTTTTTTTTGTTTTTTTTTTTCTTTGTTTTTTTTTTTTTTTTCTTTTTCTTTTTTTTTTTTTTTTTTCGTTTTTTTTTTTTTTTTTCGTCCTCGATCCCCTCAATCCTTGCCCCGTCGTCCTGAGTCGTGGTCGTCGTCGCGTTCCTCGCCGCCCCCCGTCGTCGTCGCGGCCGATGCCGGGAGGCCCCCCGCCGGCCCGCGGGCCTCCATTCACCGTGCTGGACATGGTGGAGGCTATGCGACCACGGCCTTCAGGCTCCGCGGCTTTCTTTCGGCAGTTGGACAGGGCCGTGCGCAGGCAGATCACTGGAGGACGGATGGACGGTCGATTCAAGTTCTCACCCACCCTCTCCCTCCACCTCCTCGTCCTCTTCCTTCTCCCACGTTTCGCCCTGATGTCCATGTCCTCAGGCCTCCAAGATAGGGCCCGAGTAGATGGGCCGAAAGATCGCGCCGCATCGCCGATGCATCGGGAACACGGCTCGACGTGGTGGCCGGCATTCTCCGCCGACAGTGCCGATGCATCGCCAGCGTCGCCGATGCGTCGCCGATGCATCGGCGATGCGTCGGCGATGCGGCGCGTGCCATGTCTCCAGGGCGCCCCGGCGACGCCGCTGCCCTGGTCCCGGTGCAGCCCGCGCAGCTTGTGCAGCCCGCGCAGCCCGTCGTGCGCGCGGGCTGCGCGGTCGCCCCGCGTGGAGTGGTGACCCGCGACATGGTTGTTGCTCGGATGAACAATTGCAGCCGAGATCAGCTGCTGGACGCGATCGTGCGCCTCACGAACCAGAACCACGGGCATCGGGCCAACGCTCGGGCTGCTGCCAAGCAGCGCAGGAAAGATGCTGCCACCATTGCTCGGCAAAAGGACGCTATCGAGCTACAGACCGCGAAGCTCCGTTCTTTCGCTCTCGTCCGGGAGTTCAAGAGGACAAAAGTTTCTGATGAGGAGCGCGTCAGGTTCTACCTGACAACAGAAGGTCGGTACCGATTGGGCATCAAGAGGAACTTCGGCTTCGCATCGGCGTCTACAACTCGACAGATGCTGGAGGGGGGGCCAGGGGTGGTGGAGGGCGGGCCCATTCCCTCGCCCCTCAGTCGCGCGGTGACGGATTGGCTGCCAACTGTTTCCGCGTCATGCCTGGAGGTTCCTGGCCCGACCTTTTCCCTGCCGCGCGATCCCGACGGGCAGGTTTTTTGGGTCGACCTCCCATCCTCCTCCTCCTCCTCCTCTCCTCCTCCTCCTCCACCTCCTCCTCTTCCTCTTCCCTCCTCCTCCGCCTCCTGCTCCACCTCCTCCCCCCCCTCCTCCTCCTCCTCCTGCTCCCCCCTCTCCTCCTTTAGTTTCCCCCCCGAGGAAGTGCCCGCGTCCGTCCGCGCAGTGTGCGAGAGCGAGCACTTGTCCAGAGCGTACTATTTCGCGAGAGCGAAGAAGTGGTACGAGTTTGCATACCTTCAGCTCGATGACTTCTGCGAGGCCCTCTCGTCCGGAGTTCTCCAGCTAGCAGAAGAGAATCCTATCATTTCCTGGGGCGCGCATTCTATGCGCGGCGATGCTGCGCGCTCGTCGGATTGGAAGTCTAGAACGCTTTTCTGTTCAGATGTCTGGTCTGCATTTTGCATTCCTGTTACGCTTGCTGATGGTTCTCCTGGCTTCGACGCCAGAGCCAATTTCTGCCACCCCGACATGGCGTGGGTTCCGAGATCCTCCACTGGATTAGCGCTCATGAAGATGCGGGAGGGGAAGCTGGAGCATGCGGGCACTTGCACGTGGCGTTCGTTTCTGAACGTGCGCCTGCAGATGCAGCAGCTGGGCCCCGATGAAGAGCCCCGTTCGAACTGCTGCGAACGCCCCCCCCCCCCCCCCTCTTGTCCGCTCGCCGCCATCTTTGCCCCGCCCCTGCCTGGGCCCCCCCGCGCCATATTTGCCCCGCCCCTCGCTCGCTGCCCCCCCGCCGCTTCGCCCCCGAGCAGTGGCGGGGCGACGCGGCGGGGGGCGCGTGGCGGGGGGGAGGGGCGGGGCCTGCAGGAGCTACCTCCAGCAGAGGCCCTCGGAGACACGATGATCGGGATGTCTGTCCAGCAAGCAGGCGAGCTCTGGAAACACATCACGATATTTATCGGCGGGACAGACAAGGGTCCAGATTGTTGCGGAATGGGGAGGCATCTGAGACATGACCTGGCAGAGCTCCTCTGGGTGTGGTGGATTCAAACATATTGCTGGATTCACCAATTACACCTCATCGCCAAAGACCAGCTCAAACGCATGACTGGTTATTATAGCCGCATCGCGAAAATGGCGAACAGCCGGCGCTCCCCGGGCAAGGCCCCCCTTGTCTATCTTACGTGGAAGAACATGTTCGGGGGAGAGCGCGCCCGCCATGCGGCGGGCCGCTTGCCGCCGCGGCCGCTGGTGGGGAGGTTCGGGGCAATTTACAAGACTGGCGAGCACTTCTTGCGATGTGGCATGCGGGAAACCCAAGAGGTGTACAAGCGAGTGTTTGCCCCGAGGGAGTTTCACGAGTCAGATATCCAGGAGGATCCAGACGGCGAGAGTTGGGCGGCCAAGATGGGCAGGTGGGAGGCAGACGCAGTAGCTGCGACACATTGCGTGCGGCATTGGATCGACATGTATGTGCTGCATATTCCGGGGCAGCCCGTTATCCGCATGTTGCATTGGCTGGAGAAGCGCGGCGCGTTCCTTCGCGCAGACAGGGATAAGACGTTCCAGTTCCACAGTGGGTCAACGGCACAGGAGCTCGTGCATTTCTAGTGCGATGAGATCCTTGAGGAATTTGATGCCATGCTGGATGAATCCAAGATAAGTGAGATATGGGTCGCAGTCTGGGAATTGTGTGATTACGCCGTTGATGGTGAGAGCGAAGAGCAGAGGATGGCGAGGGTGAGACGTCAATGCGTTGAACACACGCTCGAGGTCGCCGTGAACTTTTACCGGAGGTTCGCGCTAGAGCTGAAGCTGTTCCCGTACACCTTGCTATGGATGGCGTTTAAACCTGCGGGCGAGGAGTGCCAGCGGCGAGTTCATTGCGCCCAGTCGCTTCTCGGCCGCCTCGGCGATCCAGAGATGGAGGGCACTACAGAGTGGAAGATTGCGAAGTGCTCGGAGTGCGAACTCAGGGCCCGACGGCATCAATCAGCAAATGAGGCTCTAGTTGGGCCGCCCCTTGGGCCCAGGCAGGGGGGGGCGCCGTGGCCCAGGGCCCTGTTGCTCCAAAACCCTTGTCCCGATGGCGAGGGGGGCCCAAGCCTCCGACGCATTGATTTTCTGATGATTGGATCTGATGCCGTTGGGCCCTCGAGGAGGCGGTGGCGCGCCGCGGGGTCATCGACGCTCAGGCGTGGCGGCTCTTTCTGGCACTGTCCCACATGATCAGTTCGGACACGCAGGAAATTGAAGGAATGAATGGGATCGTCAAATCAGTTTTATCGATGGCGCCGAATGCCGGGCTCGAATTACTGTCTACCAGGACTTTGCTCAAGAAATCGCTAGCCACAATGTCGCGATCACCCGCCGGGCTCGACAATGCGATCAAGGACTGCGTGGACAACCATAGGAGCAATGTGAAGGCGCTGGCGGACAAGAGTCGTTTTTCGATGAGGATGCCGATGCGAGCAGCGGTCAGCACTTTTGCAGAACGGGATCCCACCGCCACCTCCCTTGCCGTTGCCTGCCAGCGATGGTGCTGGGACTGCTGCCCCCCCGCCGCCAGGGCCGCCCGTGGCCGCGCCGCCCGCTGGGCCGCCGCCGCCAGGGCAGCTCGTGGCCGCGCCGCCGCCGCCCGCGCCAGTCCAGCCCCGACGGCGCGCGCCCTGGCAGCCGCGGTGCGCCGCCAGGGTAGCCAGAGTACTTTTGCAGCTTTACCCGTCGAAGACCCCGACCAGCAAGTGCGCGGCCACCTACACCGTGATGGGCGTTCCTCAGAGGAGCTGGCTGATATGCCATCTCTTCCGGCGAGGTTTCTGGGCAGTCAACGGCGACCTGGGGCCCGACGAGTTCAAGACCAAGCTTCCATTGGAGCCTACCTCGCTCAAGGACTTGTGCGAGCAGATCCACAGGTGGCTCCAGCAGGATAGAGTAAACCATGCGTGCAAGCTGGGGGTGGCACCCCTCGCGCGGTCCTTCAACTCGCTCCAGCGCGCTGCTCGGGACGGGCATCTCGTGGCGAAGGATGTCAGAGACTGCTGTGAGTGCCCGGGGTTCCGGAGACGCCGCCGCGGCCCAGGTGGCGACGGAGGGGGCGGCGGCGGCGGAGGAGGCGATGGGCCCGGAGAGGGCGGCGAGGACGAGGACTCTTTCGACGAGCACGACATATTAGATGAACTCTGGGCGGCAGTTGCAGGCGGCACAGATGACGACTCCAAGGGCGATGGCGATGACTTTGGCGGCGACGACGCCGACGCCGACCCCGCCGCCTTCGTGGCATTAGCCGAGAAGCTCAGGGAGACGACGGACCCAGGGGGGGAGGGCGAGGAAGGCGCTGATGCCATTTGCGCGGAGGATGAGATTGCCCAGATGGAGCTCGACGAGGAGCAGGCTTTAGCACTGGCGCGCGATGCGCATATCAAGCGGAAGGACGCCCCAGACTTGATGCATCTGGCTGGAGGGTTAGGGGAGAAGTTGGACGACTTCACTCTCGTCCACGATCTGAAGAGGCAAGAAGATGAGGCGTTGTTGCAGGCTGCCCTGGACTTGGAGATCGACCCATGCATCCCAGCGTCACCCGTTCCTGATGTCGCCACGAAGAGCCTGATCGAGGAGTTTATGATATCTTAGAGCATCGAATTCGCCCACACGCTTCGTGCAATCGATGAGATCAATACGCCAGAGCACCACGCCCCCCGCAATCGGGGAATTTCTTTGCTGCACACGCGCGACCCGCACCCGGCCAGCCCAGACACTCTCTTTCCGTGGGTTTTCTGGGACGACGTCGAGGCGGGGCTATGTAGATTTGTCCATGTCGACGAGGAGGAGGGCAGGATCGATTACACTGTTCCTCAACAAAAGTTCCATGGCACCTCATTCAAATTATCGTAGCACCCCGCAGTTGCGGATAAAAGTGAAGGGGGCAGCGGGAAGTTGGCGCGCGGCGCGCCCGAGCTCGCCGCAGGCGCCGATATTTAGCTAAAACAAAGAAGGTGGGGCGCGGATGGGTCGTGGGTGGGTCGGGGTCGCGGGCGCGGTCGCGGGTGCGTCGCGGGTGGGTCGCGGGCGGGTCGCGGGTGGATCGCGGGCGCGTCGCGAGGTGGGTCGCGGGTGGGTCGGGGGTGTGTCGCTGGTGGGTCGCCAGGTGGGTCGCGGGTAGGTCGCGGGCGGGTCGCGAGGTGGGTCGCGGGTCGGTCACCAGGCGGGTCGCGGGCGGGTCGCGGGCGGGGTCGCGGGGGGGGCGACAACAACAGCAACGACAACAACATTAACAACAACAACGATAACGCCAACAACGACAAACATAATCCCCGCTTCGGAATCGCACCTCAGCCACGCACCCAGGGGCAGTGAATGACCGTTCGGCCCCCTCACTCTGACCATCTGCCCCCCAGTCTGCTGGGGGGTCTGGGTGCCAGTTAGTGGGGCTCTTTGCTCTCTTGTCTCGCGCAGGTTCAGGTTCAACGTCAAGGACCGCTTGGACTCGGGCGACTACGTCACCCTGATCCCGGATTGCAATGCACGTGCCCTTCCCCCGCGCCCGCCCGCCCGCTTCGCGCTCCCAGTGCTCGCAATGCTCCCCCAGAACCTTCCGCATTCTCGGCCTTATCCTCCTGCCCCTGCCCCTGGCCCCCCTCCTCCTCCTCGCATTCCCCTTCCCCCCCTCTTCCCCTCGCGCTCCCACTCCCCTTCCTCTTCAGACCCCCGTCTGTCTCCTGTTCGCCCCATTCCTCGGCTGCGTCAGGTGCGCGTCTTGTCTTTTGAATGTTGCGTTATCTGGGCAATCCTTGCTCTTCTGAGCGAAGTGAAACCATCGGAACGTTTCCCGCCGCGGCGCTTGCCGCGCCTGGCCCCCGCGGCTGTCTTGGGCGGCGCCAGGCATGGTGAAGACGGCGATGGATTGGAAGAAGAGGCCCATGCCCAGGGCGGCGCGCAGGCGCCGTGTGCGAGAACCAATGCCGGCCCAACCAGGGCCCGCCCACCCCTCGCGCTGTTGGGATGGAAGCAGGGCGGCTGGGAAGGGGCTGGGGAGGTAACCCCGAACGGGCGATAGTAAAGGCGCCCCCCCCCCCTTTCCCCCCCTCTATTGTTTATCCCCGCCCGCGGGGATTTATGCGGGGAAGGCGCGGGGGCCGAACTTGGGAATCGCCTGGAAAGTTGCGGGGGTCGAAGTTGCTATCATGTCATGTTGATTAGAGAGCAGCATGAAAAAAAAGGCTGAGCATGGCCGCGATGGTCTTGCCACACCAGCGTCCGCAATCACGAGCGTGTGGCAGCGCTGTGGGGTTCTCACCAGTTCAGTTTGCCCACGTTACGACCGTGCGGCAGGGCCATGGGATGCACTAGTTACAAACATGGAGTAAACGTCAGAACGTCGTTTGGGTAGGGATCAGCACTCGCCGAGTGCTGATCTCTACCCAAACCTCCTCCTCCTCCATCATCGTCACTTATCCCAGGGGGGTTATTATCGCTCCTTTTCGGTTAGGGGGGGGGCGGACAAGAGGTCAGAGGGCGACGAGTCGGGGGGGGTGCGGTGGCGGAGAGACGGACGGTGAGAAGCAGAGGGGTGGCCGAAATCGTTCGTCGGTGACCCTGCTGACTGACTCGGGGCACGCATGGCGCGCCAGGACCTCGGCCCCCCCAGATGAGCCTTCGTGCTCGCACTCCCGTCTTGGATATCCCTTACTTACTCCCAGGGTTCGCAAGATGCTCAGCGTCCATCGCGATGACCAGCTCGGAGCTCGTTGCCAGTTGTGCGAGATGCATTGGGACACGGCAAAGCGTTGCCCTGTTTGCCAATTAGGGTACCACGAGGGTTGCGTCGAGAGAGCGATGCAGCAGATGGGCGCACTGGGCATGGGGGTGACCCTGGACGGACAGTGCATCTTAGAAAAAATAGCAATCCCCCCATTCCCACCACTCCCTTCCGTTGTCTGTTTGTTTTGCGCAGTGACCTCGAAATCTTATCCAGAACATCCGTGCCAGATGTATCTCCCAACCTGGGGAGTTGATTAGAGTGCGCGAGGTTTTGTGACATCGGGCGGAGCTGGGGGTGCTCGTGCATCAGATCTGCCCCTCGAGGATTGTGTGCAGCTCTCAGACGGCACTTTATCGTGGGCGACCCTCGGTTGGATCACGCTGGCGAATGGTTCTCGGCTGTTTGTGACTCGGAATTCATGCAACCCATGGTCACGTGCTTTCCGGTACGCGATCGCGCCTGCCCGATGTGCCGCGTTGTTTGCCGGGCAAGTGACAGCGCCAGCGCTGCGTCGGGCGGGGCTTAGGCAGACCCGGGGAGGTGGGGTGCCATGTAGTCCTCAGTTTGGGGCAGGCGGTCAGCTGCAAAGACCGTGCATGTGCGATTTCGTCGGTTTAGCGAACGTAGAGCACGTCGTCCAACAATGTATGGCACCCCCCAGCATAGCATGAAAGCGCAAATGCGCGGTGCTGTTGCTGGTCGTCTGCTGTCTGCCCAATGGCCGTTCGGCGGGGCGGACGGCGCTGACAGGCAGGAGTAGCGAACGACCGCGTGCCATCGGGGTTGACGCGGCTGATGAAAGAACAGGGGGCAGGATAAAGGGGGCAGGAGACGTGGCCGCGCGGGCTTGATGAAGGGGGCAGGAGAAAGGTCAGCAAGGAAGTGGGGTGCTGGAGACAGGATGTAGGAGGCAGGAGAGGGCGGCGATGGGGATCAGAAGGGGGCATGATAATGGGCATTATCGGATAGATGGGGGCCAGCCACAGGAGAGAGATAGAGGAAGAGAGAGAGAGAGAGAGAGAGAGAGAGAGAGAGAGACGGAAAGAGAAAGAGAAATAAAGAGAGAACACATCAGGATCGCCGCAAGCAGGGGTGCGTCGTGGCCACAAGCAATTCGTCTGGATATGGTTCAAGACAGGGCGCAGGTAGGAATGCGCCTTGCACCCTTCTTGCAATTGATGACCATTCGCACATGGAATCCTGTTGGGCAGTATGTTTGTGTGTTGTTTGTTGGGGGATCGGCCGCCTCGTCGCCGCGCGTTGGTTTTGGGGCAGTGCCCCGCGCGGGTGAGATTGCACGCGATGGCGCGCAGTCGCGCCATCAGTTTTCGATCGGAGATGTGGCGGTGCCAATTGCCAACGACAGCGCTCAGCATTGCAGCTTCCCTTCGCAGAGTGCTCGGCGCAGCTGCGGGTCCGCTTCGCGAGCGATCCAGCTTATATTCGCTCACGCTGTGAGGCAATTCATATTGTTGACCACTTCAGTGATATCCCACTCGAATCAATTCTAACTATTGTCTGGTACGGTCCCTCTTCCAGAGAGTTTGAGGCTCAGGTGCTCTGGTATTGTGACTATCTGTTCAGACGTGGAGCCCCTGGTCGACCGCTCACGCGATGTCTGCGGGCTTGGAAGAGTGCGAGGTAGACGACGCCCCCGACGCATTGGTGGCGAACCTTCCCAGCGCTGGGCTTAGGATCGGAGCTTGATATTCAGATTCAGAACATGTCGAAGCCGTCGTAAGTGCGTTTGTATGTAGACACATACATATATACATGTAGTAAGTATGTATACATAGATCAAGAGACATCGAGAGCAATGCGTGACGATAAACACATGTGTATATATTATATGTATATATGGTGGCGAACGGTTTCTGCTGGGGGGGGGGACACGATGACGCGATATCACGGCATCACGATATCCGAAAACGGGGCGGGGGAAACACGATAACACGATATCGCGATATCACGATATCCGAAACGGGGGCGGAGGGGACCACGATATCACGATATCACGATATCTCCATATCGTGATATCGTGATATCGTGTTCTTGTGGTTTGGGACGCTGTAAACCAGCAAAACATGGGAATATTGGGGCGATACCCAATTCCCACACACGAGCGCATCGCGTGGGAATTAGCTTCCCCCCACCAAGAATGGGTCGCGGGCACTCAGACCCTCCCAGAGGGCCCACGACCCCCGACGCACCCTCCCCCCGCCCCCATCCGTGGGGTCCTGCACCACACATGCCAATCTGCTGTGCGGTCATGGACCCCGCATTCACCCCCCCCTCCCCCGTGGGGTCCTGGACCCCACGTTCTCCGCTCCCGTGGGGTCATGGACCCCACGCGTGCCGCTCCCGTGGGGCCCCGGACACACCCATCCCCCCCCCCTCCCCCCCGTCCGTGGGGTCCTGTACCCCACATGCCAATCTGCAGTGGGGTCCTGGACCCCACATGCACCCCCCTCCCCTCCTCCGTGGGGTCCTGGACCCCACGTTCTCCGCTCCCGTGGGGTCCTCGACCCCGCATGCCCCGCTCCCGTGGGGCCCCAGACTTCTTGCGCCCCCTTCCACCGCCCCCTCTCTTCATCCGTGGGGTCCTGGACCCCGCGTGCCAATTTGCTGTGGGGTCCTGGACCCCACGTGCACCACCCTTCCCCCCCCATCCCCCGTGGGGTGCTGGGCCCCGCGTTCCCCGCTCCTGTGGGGTCCTGGACCCCACACGTCCCACGCCCGCGGGGTCCAGACCCCACGCCACCCCCCCTCCCATCCGTGGGGTCCTGGACCCCACATGCCAATCTGCAGTGGGGTCCTGGGCCCCACATACACCCCCCAACAGAGCAATGGCCCAAGCGGGCCGCAAGAGGCC